ATGGTGTCAAAATACCAAACTTTATTTCGCTGTGCTCTTACTTATTTCAACGAGTGCTCTTACTAAATTGTGAGTGAAGAACGCTGTTCATAACTGCAGGTATTTCACTCTTACTAGGGGTTTCAAGAGCCGAGCATCGGGTCAAGAAAAGGGACCCAAAGAGTTGTGGTTCTTCATGGTTTCCCTCAAAAGGCAGGTGCTTTGTGGCTGCAGGATTGAGCTCCTCCAGTGTCACTTCCAGCAGTCACTCGGGCAAGATCAGATTCCTTCCTTAAATATCCCTTCTTGGGATATTTAACTACAAAACACCTTAGATACGATATTTGTAATTGCTGCCTTTGAAGCACAGCAAGAAAGGAAGGAAAGTGGTGATGGATGGGGTGGAACTGCTCCTTCTTTCACAAAGCTACTGCCTTAAGACTGACTCTGCCTTTTAAGAGCAGTAGTTCTCTGATAGGGAGTGCCGTTGCCGTGCCCCGCTGGAAAACTTCCTGAGAGATACGAGTGCTTTTTAATGCCAGCACTTGAGTCCTTGGAAGGCCCGAGAGAGCCCCGAGCTTTAATTAGCAGGGCTGGTCCACAGAGCTTTAATTAGGGCTGGTCCGCGGAGCGGGAAGGGCTCGGTCGGGCGCAGGCTGAGCTGCTCTTTGGGGTAATAACAGCCCGTTTTGGGGAGACAAGGCGCTCTCCCATCCCTCTCTCCATGCACACTCCGGGTGTTTTCCCCACTTGGTTTTGGTGCCGGTGAGTGACCAGGGCCATGTTGAGGAGGTGTTGGTCGTGCTCGGCTCCCCAATGCCGGAGAAAAGCGCCTTTATCCCCTTGAAATGCAGCCTGCCTCTTGGACACACAAGCGCCTCTCCAAAAACTCTGGATACCGTGTGGATATCACAGGGATTAACAGTCACCCACCTTTTCGTAGGAAAATGCTCAATATCCTCCAGAACACAAACATGCAACCACGCACACCTTTACATACGCATATATATATGTATATATGCATCCATATGCACAGCCAGGAGCTACAGGTTTTGGAGGGCTCAGCTTGGCTTCCAGTAGGAACGGGCTGTGGTTTGCAGCGCTGCCTTTGCTCCCCAAGCTCCTTCTGCTCCTTGCTCCGGGAGCGGCCGGCACACAACCTGCAGCAGCCCTGGAAGGAGCTGGAGCGCTGCCATGCACCTGGAGCATCCGCACGGATCCGCACGGATCCCAGGCTTCCAGCACCGCCCGAGACAAACCGCGGGCGTGAAGACAGCAGAGCGTGCCGGTTAAGAGCATAATTAAGGATAGTCTGCATGAAGTGCGTGCTATGTTGGCCATAAACCCAACAATTAGAGCGGTCTTAAAGTTTTAGAAGGCAATAAAATGAGGGGAGCTGAGGCTGCTGCTGGCTCCCTTAGCTGCTCCTTTTAGCTCCATGAAAGACCTGCAGTTAATCTCATCTCCCTCCATTCAGTATGTCATTAATGGGAACGAACCAGGTATTTTCACATGCTTAATTAGGATTTCTTCTGCTGGGAGGGGGCTGGTTTTAGCGGGGCTGGTTCGCTTTGAAGGGAGCATGCCCTGGTCCCCGGCACCGGCCGCCTGGGGATGTGCGGACGGATTTCTTCGGAGCGATGCGGGATTCGGTGGCTTGCAACTAGTGGGAGCCTCTGTGCGCTCCCATAAAGCCAAATCACAAAAAAAATAAACAGCTCTCGTGCGGAGGAAGCCCAGGCCTTATATGGAGCTCTCGCCGACGGACTTGAATGCCTCCCAAGTGTTTATCTGTCGGCACGGGTGCGAGCAAAGCTGCAGTCCACGCTTACGGAGGGAGACTGCAGGAAAGATTTTGCCGTAAAATTAAGGGCAGTGGTGGGCAGCCTTGAAATCTCGCCTTGTACCTTCCGTCCTAGTCCAGTAACTCTAGCGACACCACCAGTCTATGAAGCTTTTTTTTAAAATTTTAGCTTCTGTCCTAAGCCCCTTCGCGTCCGTAGCTCATTGGGAAGTGGGAGCTGTGTGGCGGGAGGATGCCGGGCTCTCCCGGGATGTTGTGGCTTTGATCACCTGGAAAGGCTGGCCAGGAGATTGCACTAGTGGAGCTCTGCCTGCCTTGCCAAGACCCTTCTGCTGAGCAAGGTCCTCTTGGCCCAGAGGAACGGAGGTGATTGCCCTTCTTGCTGTGGCAGGAGGAAGGAAACCAGCCCTTCATGCCATGTTTCAGTCAAAAAAATCCCCTCCTGACTTGTTTTCCCCAGCCCCTGAGCCCCCGTAAGTTATCTTGGCTGTAGGCAGATCCAGCTGCCAAGGCTCATCCCAAACCCATCTGCCTTCTCTCAAAGTCATGGAATGGTTGAAGTTGCAGTGGGCCCCTGGAGATCATCCAATCCAACCGCCCAGGTTGGGGACTCACGGAGCTTGGACTAGGTGCCCAGGATGTCCTGAATGAGCCCAGCCAGCCTGATTCTCCCCAAAAACCGTGCAAAAATAGGACTGTGACATTGCAGTTAGTGACATCTGCCCTTTCCACTGCTAGAAGTTCCAGCTAGTCATATGAGTGTTGGACACTGGGATAGAATTGCGGTTTTTGAGAGGTTGTGAGAGGTTATAAAAGAGCTGTAGGTTGAGATTCCTGCATGGATAGGGTAAGGAAATCCTGGCGGCTCCGTGCCCTGCTGCCACGTGGCTATAAAGGGCAGGGATCGTAGCTGAAGAACCTGAATTTCATACCTAGGCATCCACCAGTGTTCAATTACAAGCCTGGAGAAATCACTGAGGGGTGGGAGAAGCACACAAATAATAAGTCGAAATCCAAAACGCGCCGAGTCGTTGCTGGTTTCTTAACAAAGTGGCTGAAGATGCCTTGCAGCGTTACCTGTGGGAAGGCCAAAGGCTCCGAATGCCTCTGTAAAAGGGTATGGTAAATCCCATGGGATGCTAAAGTGCAAGAGTAGATATTCAAAGGTGCCAGGAGAAGGAACTGTGTGTTTGCATGGTTGACTTCTGTGTTGCTCCTGCTTCAGAGAAGAGCTTGGTATTTACTGGAAGTTCTCCAGAAGGCAGTGAATGGAGTTAATATGAAAACAAGCCCAAATAGGAGCCTTTGGACAAGAAAAAGGTTGGGGCAGCAAGATATAGTTAGCTTTCTTTGTGTTTATCTGTTACTTGCTAATCTTCGAAGAACACATGGAAAAAGTACATAGGAGAAGAGAACAAAAACTACCCTGCATGGAAGCAGTTCAATTTGGCACAGCAGGAAATTAGCTGCGGTAATTTGCTTAATTCTGTGTATCTGGAAGGCAAGAGATTAGAGTTGCCACAGGTGAAAAGTGGGAATGATTTTTAGTTACAGAATGAAATATAACTGCGCCCATTTGTAAGCACACTTGTCTTGCTTCCTTTATTCTAGATATTCTAAAAACTCAGAGCAGAAATACTCTGAAAAGCCTGGCTTAGCACTGGGGTGATGAGCAGCATTCCTTACACGTGTGCAAGCTTTATCTGCAACAGAGATAAGCACCGGTTAAGGGCACGTCTCCAGGAAGTGCCTTCCTTCTGGTTAGTGCTTTGCCCATTACAAACCCTGGTCAAGGAGCCCAAAGGGTTTTCCTCGTTTTTCCTTTATCCAGGCTCATTTTGCTGCGAGGGCTGGAGGAAGGATCTGTGGTCTGATCCAGGTTACTCCGGCAACTTTAATTAGGAAGGATGAACAGTGGAGCCTTAAGCAGAAGGTTAAGGATTAGATGAGAGAGTATTTGGAGTATGTCTGAAGTCTATTTTAAATTTTTGGGAAGGATTTCAAGTGTGTGTGGGGTGTTAAATAGGGGAAGAGCAATGTGTGTCCTGTTTATTCAGAGTGCTTTGCCATCTGCGTACCATGAGTTCGGATCTGCGCGGCTGGTTTCTTAGCTCATAAAGTATGGTCATATCAGAGAAATAATCATTTGGATTTCACATGATAGCGGTTGGATTATAATGGAGGTGCAAAATAATGTTCCGCAACAAGAGGCAGTTTTTCCAAAGCGGGACTCGGTGGCTGTTTGAGGAAGAAAAAGGGATTTTGCGGTTTCTCAGCCCAGAAGAGCCAGCAGGAGCCTGAGCAGCTCTATGGGTGCTAAAATGTTCAGGAAACCAAAGGAAGCCTTTGGAAGGAAGTGTGTCTGTCTCCACCTTTTTTAGTTTGTGTTTCATGCCTCTTACTCCTTTGCTTGGGGCCGGTGTTGGTGGGAGCGTGCATGTCTCTTGGGTTCTTCTTTTGGTAGAGCTGCTCAGGACACGCAGATGGCTTTGTGTGTGTGTGCTTTTTTTGACCCATTTGATGTACAGTCCCCTGGATCATCTTCAGATCCCTCAGTTGCTTCCAGCAGTTTCATGCAAGGTTATGATGTGCTCACCAAGCTGGTTTAGAATCGGTGTGGTCCCAATGCCCGAGCCGCTTGCATCTGCACCCAGGTGGAGATGCATGTGCTGTTTTCCTGCAAGGAAAACGGGTGTCCCGCTTGTGGAGGAATTCCTGAGCATTGTTCTCAAGTTATTCCAGTGCTAATTCAATGGCAGAAGCTTTGAACTGCTTTGTCCCTGGGCTGCTTGGAGAAGCTCCTGCCTGGGGATGGCAGGACTGCTGCAGTCCAGCCCTCATAGGTCATTATGGGTTGAAAAGACCTTCCAGATCATCAAGTCCTGCTCCTGTTCCCTCTCTGCATGCCATGGGGGTGTTTAGGGAATGCTGCAGGGCTCACCCCATCCTGTAGGTCCGTGTCCCATACGGCGTGAGGGAAGGGGCTTCTGGCACCGATTGCCACCTGGATATTTGGAAACCCATCTGAGCTGTCCTGCTGCTTGGTGGCTTCCTTCCCAGGGAGACCATCCATTGCGGAGGTGGGCCCGCTATTCCCAGCAGGAACTCGGCGCCCGCCTTGGCAGCCGGCTCGGCGCCGCCTTAAATGAGCGGAGCAGAAGCGCTTGGCTGCGCCCGCGTGATGCTCACAGAAGGTTTTGTCTTGTTGCTGTTGCAGTGACAGCTACATTGTGCGAGTGAAAGCCGTGGTTATGACCCGAGATGACTCCAGCGGCGGATGGTTGCCGCAAGAAGGAGGCGGCCTCAGTAGAGTTGGCGTCTGCAAGGTCACCTACCCGGAGGGCAATGGAAGAAGTGGATTCCTGATCCACGGTGAAAGGCAGAAGGACAAACTGGTAATAGAACCTACCTCAAACTTTTGTCTTTTCCCATAGTGAGAATAACCCCAAATCTCATGCTATTGTGTTCTTGTGCAAGTTATTTTGTTATCGTTATTGGAAAAAAAGCAGTGCCAGATTGCACAAAACAATCCCACACGTGTCTAGAAGGTCATTGAATTGTCACCTCTTGCTATCTAGGTTGTGGTGCGGCCACCTGGGGTTCGCAGGTAAATGTCCCACCTCCATGTGCACAGACCCCCTTTTTGGTGCCCGCAGGAGGGCCCCGTGTTTTCCGAGGACGTGCCCGGGGTCTGGGAGCCGTGGAGTGAAGTGTGGAGGCTCCTGAAGGCAGCCACGTTGCGCTGAGCACGGGACTGGAGCTCGCGGAGCGGGCACGCGACGACGACGAGTCGTCTCTCGAATTGACGCGCTCGCTCGCGTCTGGTGGCTGGCTTCCTAAAAAGGGGCACTTTCTTGCACAGATAGAATTCACAGAGCCTTTTCCCCATGCCTCGAGACCGCGGTGGATGTCACGTTTTGCTGCCCGCTTTCACACATGTGATCCCTCTGAAATTTGCTCCTTGTGGCATTGCCCGGTGCCGGGGCAGCAAAAGGCCTGTCCCAGCTGAGGCATACATGGTCCTGCTTTCCAAGGACCGGCCTTTCAAAGGTGTCTCCAGCACAGCTCGTGTTTGCACCACTCTGTTCTTCAAGATGCTTTTCCGTGGGTGTTATTTATGAACCGTGCTTATGCTTTTTGAGCAAGGGGGCAAGCCCAGCAAAGTGTCCCCATTCCCATGAAGGCTCCTTGTCTAAGGACATGCCTACGAGCCTAAGGAACGCCTAAGAGCGCTTGGGCCGGTGTTCAGCATGGCAGCGTTGGAAACGAGCGCTCGGGGAGGATGAGGAGGAGGAGGAGGGATGGTGGGGAGGTGACAGAGCCTCCCACAGCCGCTGCCAGAGGACACACTTCCCTCTGTGGAGTGGGATGACGGAGCGAGGAGGTTCTCACGCTGCTTGCTTGGCGTGCGCTGGTGGGAGGCGAGCAGGGCCCTACCCAACGGGCGCCCAAGCGTTGGAGGTGCCGCCATCCACCCTCACCATGGGTTGGTAGCGGAGGCGGCGATGGCGGGACACCAACGGGCCTCTCCCTCGCAGGTGGTGCTGGAGTGCTTCGTGAAGAAGGACCTGGTCTACACCAAGGCCAACCCCACCTTCCACCACTGGAGAGTAGACAACCGCAAGTTCGGGCTCACCTTCCAGAGCCCCGCGGACGCGCGCGCCTTCGACAGGGGCGTGCGCAAGGCCATCGAGGACCTCATCGAAGGTATGGAGATGGGAGTGGAGCAGGGGGCTTGCAGAGATGGACCACCAGGCCCCCAGTTATCCATCCCTCCCATCCCAGTCCATCAGGATCACATCCCGCAACTCCTATCTCTGGTGCTTTCTCCATAGACTTGCTTTCAATGTGAGGAACCACCGCTTAAACAAAAGGCCAGGCTCTCTCAGGCCCCCGCGTACAGCAGAATCTGTTTTCTACCAAGTTTGTTAAATTCAAAGTACAAATTCCTGCATGGGCCTAAAGAAAGCTTTGCTTTGGTTTGTTTTTACAGTAATTGGTTCTGCCTGCGGCTGCTTAGTCAAGTGGTAGCCCTTGAAGACTTTGTCGGGGGGTTGGCCTGTTTGTTTGTTTGTTGCTTTTGTTCTTTTTTTCTTTTAATTCCGTGAGAAATGCGTTTGAATTGCCTGTGCTTTGAAGTCGTCCTGAGTCTTTCCTTTCCTCATTTCGCGGCATCTTGCTGCCGCTCTGATTCCCTACTTCTCCTTTCACGGCTCCACGTGGGGTTTTGCTCCCGTTTTAACCACTTGACAGGGAGACCCGAGCGGTCTGAAGCCGTTCTCCTCCTCACCCTGTACCACTGGAATATTCTGATAGGTAACAATTACCTTTCAGGAATCAAGCATTAAACTTCACCTGCTTTTATAGGCAGCCTAGGGTTTTGGGTGCCCTGACCTAGTTTTAACTCCTTATTGATAAGCATTAACCCCTGCATTGCTTCCTGTAGTATCAGAAATATCCCGGTTTTATGCACAAATGCAGTAACCCTACATAGCTCTGTAGAGAGAGCCTGAATCTTGTTCTTATTTGGAAGTTGGTAGAGCAAACGGTGTGAGGTTTTCACAGGGCTTGCAGTTTAAGTGGGCCTAGCTCTGCACATCTTCAGGGTACGCAACCAAAAGCAGCCAGGACTAGTGCAGGTAGCAGTATATAAAGCACACCTTTAAAATATTTTCCAGAATGAAGGTGATATTTTGCTTTGTTTGAGCACATCCCAACTGTTATTAAGTGTAACAGTGGACTTTGGTTAAAAATCATCTATTTTTTTTTCTAACTTTAGGGTTTTCTACCTTTTTCTTGCTGCCCAAGACTTCCTGTGCAGCCTCATGGATTGCGGTTCTCAGAGGCTTATAGGTGTTAAATTATAAATGCATGCACTTCCAAAGCAAACAGACAAACAGAAAAACAACCCAAAATTTCAATGTTCTCCTATTAAAAATGTAGTGTTAAAGGAGGCTAGAGGGAGGGTCTCTGGGTACAGTTTCCCACTTTCCCAGGTCATTGCCAGGCAGATAATCAGAACTTCAGCTCAGTATTTCATTCTTGCGTATGGTTTTACAAATTTCGGCTCCTTTTAAATGCTCTGCTTATCCAGAGAAAGATGGTTCTCTGATGAATAGCTAATAAAAGAGAAGACCTTGAGAATATTTGCTTACTTCCTAGATTACGAGAAGAAGAAAGCAACCTAACAGTTCCCCTCCAAAGGGAGCTTTATTTTTAAGTGTCAAGTCATTTTTTCCCTAATTTTAAGGAAGACACATTTTCTTAATGTATCAAAGGGAGCTTTATTTTTAAGTGTCAAGTCATTTTTTCCCTGTTTTTAAGGAAGACACATTTTCAACTGAAGAACAGCTTCCATATCGTTTCTTGACGGCTGAGGCTCTGGTCTCGAGCACTGATCACTATGTGGCTTTATCATTCCTCAGAACTGGAAGTGTTCTGTAATTGGAAATGCTGATTGCTATTTTTAGCGTTGCCAATTAGCATTGGCAGCCACACAGTTACATGTCAAGAAGCACTTTTGGATTTTACCTTTCCAGCCCCGCTGGCACTGGAGGACTATTTTCTTCCTTAATCTCACCCATTCATTCAGTGCTCTCCACCGCCGCGATCGAGTTGAGGCGGTGGAGAGTTGGGCTCCAGGCACGCAGCAGTGCTCGGAATACAAATGTACCAGGCTAATGAAGCTCCACGACGGAGCTGCATGGAAATTACGTGTTTTTAAAAAGCTCTTTCCTCCTAGGATCCACTACGTCGTCGTCCACGCTTCACAACGAGGCGGAGGTCGGGGATGACGACGTCTTCACGGTGAGTGCGGCGCCCGCGACGTCGTGGTTGGCACGGGCGGCTTTGAAAGGGCTCCTTTTATTGCTCGGAATTCCGGCCTCCGTCGTGTTTGTTTAATGGAAGCACATCCTCTGCGGGAGGTAAACTTTTGCCCGCCTCTTACCCGCAGCAAGAGCGTGGGGTTTGTGTTGGCTTCCCGTCGTCGTGTGAGAAGCACGAGGGAGCAGGGCAGAGGTTTCCAGGGCTAGACCTGAGCAAGTAATACCCTCACGTTGATCCGAGCTGGTCCGAGTGATGCTTACACCCCTCTCCTGCTCCCTTTCTCGCCTTAAGGCGCATCCTACAAACCGGGATAAGTGCGTGCTTCCCAGGGGTGTCCTGAGGGAAGCAAAACTTGGAGCAGTTGCCTTTATGGTAGGGACAAAAACCAACTGGAAGGTGTTTAGTTGTGCACATGGGCAAAGGATGCTCGCACGTGAGTTTTCCAGCTGGAGGAATGAACAGTCGTGTGCAGCCTTCCTGCTCGGCAGCACCGGGAGCGGGAGCAGGGAAGGAGCGAGCAACCCGGGTTTAGTTTGTGGCAGTGCCTAAAACGCGCTTGGGAGCTTTCCTGAAGCGGGAGGAGATGCCGGGAGGGCTGGGGCGGGATGTCCTGACGAGGACCAGCAAACGTGTCCAGGCTCTGCCTTGCACAGCCTGGCTTAAAGCCTTCCTCTCCGCCTGTTCCTGCATCTTCAGGGCCTCGAGGATCAGGGGTTGCTCCTGCGGCCATCGTGATCAGACCTGTCGTGATTTTTAGAAGCTTTTTTTTTTTTTTTCCCCTTGATCTTTCTTCTCTTTTTTTATTTCCCTGGGTTTTCATGACAACCTTCAGCTCTTTGAAGTTCCTGACTACCCATTTATCCGGGAATCCTGGTGTATGATGGCAGAGCTTGAAATCTTCCGAAGCCAAAAATAACACGCTGTAATGCGGAGGGTTTTTAAACGAGAACGATTGATAGAGATGTGACTTTTTTTAAAAAAAAATCTTTTTTTCCTTCTTCAGTTTTACTCTTTCTTGCACTTTTTTCTCTTGTGCATAGCAGCCCGTTTGGTCACCCTTGCACGCAGCATCTGCCACCACCATTTCCATACTCCCCATACACCCTTCCCCAGTCTCAGCAATAGGCTGCTGAGGGGCTGGATTTTCCCTCATTTTGCCCTGTTTTAGAGACCCAAAACGTTCGTTCTTTCAGTTGCTTACCGTCTTTATTAGCGTCTCCCCAGTCCTCCCCCTCTCCCACACGCAGGGCTGAGCGGAGCCGCGTGCAGCAGCGTTTGCAGAAGTATCTGCAGGATTGAGTCATTTGCTCAGCCCTTCTCGCCCCTCGGAAAAGCGCTGCCGCTGCGCTGCCATCTCTCATGTACTTGCTCCAAGCTCCGGCCTCTCCTCGAGGATGTTTCTCAACGGTCACAACAAGCCCAAACTCCACATTTCTTGCACGGCTTTACCGAATCCCCCGGTATTTGGTAACTACTGAATTTCGTAGCGTTTTGTAGCATGCATCATTGGCAGAGTATCATCCTAACCAAATTCCCTTGTCGTGTTTAATCCCTGGTTGTGATATTCCTTATTGATGGAAATGGGATTTTTGTGCTGTCCCTGGTCTTGATGACTTTGCTGCCATCCTGCATGCATGTTTTTGTGCACATACACAACTGCTATGGCATCTGCTTTGTGGTTCATAACCTAGCACCCTGCCTCTCACTCCAGCACACCTCGGTGGCCGTCGTTCTGCAATGCAGTTTCTATCTTCAAAAAACAGGACTTTGCCATCTAGTACCTTTTTGGTGAATCAGACCTGTAGTTAGCAAGCCCATGGACACGAACCCCTGCTCGGGAAGCTGTAGCAGCAGGAAACGAAAGCGTGTAGAAACAAATGTCACCCACTTCGGGGAAAACGCACTTATTTCTGAAACGCAATCTCCATTTAGAAGTTTTAACAATGTGTAGTTGTGTTTCTTTAATTCCAAATCCTCAGTAGAGCCCATAAATGTTTTCCATATGTTAGCAAATAGATTTCTCCCGTCTTGTACGTTATAAATCATCCTCTCAAGAGATGCAATCTGAGTAAGACTAGCCATCCGTTCTGTGTCCGTCGGGGGAAGCGTTGTCTTTGCAATGGCCTGAGATTGCTCTGTTTGTCTTCATCAATCTAGCCCGCATCTTCAGGCTTCTTTAATTAACATTCATTCCAGAAATAACATTTAATAGGGAACAAATATATCCCGTACTTCCTCAGCCACAAGATTTGCCGTATAATTGAGTTCTTGGGCAGAATTTTCCCTCAATCTACACTTTTACTTTCAATTAGAGCTAATAATCCCATGAAGGGAAGAACGTGAATTGAGTCCAAGGAAAGAAAGGTCAATGTCTTCCAGAGCCTGCGGCGTGCCGGTCTCGCGGAGCGAGCCATCGGGAAAGCAGAGATGTCACAGAGATGTGATTTTTAAAATACTAATTTTTATGAAAAAAAGAGAATCTTCCAGCTGTAGAATCAAAAACCAAGAGTGTCTGAGCTGCAGGTTTAGGTTTGCAGACCCTCAACCCGCTGTTTCTTCTGTGGACTTGGTACCTGCTGCCTTGGCCTCCAGCGTTGGCCTCTGTTCTCCAGCTTTACGAAGGGGAAAACGGGTCCCTGCTGCACTAAGGTGACGGGGACCGATGTTGCTGCCACTGGCACCACCCTTCTCCTCCTAGGTGCACCTCGCTTTTCTGGGAATGGGGATCCTTGCAGTTGGATTTACATGGAGCTTGCAACAGGGCGCTTCGGATGGGTGTTTGCACCACCCAGCTGGGTGCTTGGGGGGATCCTGCACCCCTTTTTCTCCTCCACATGGGGACGGAGCCCTTGGAAGTTTGGAGGCTCGGAAGTTTGGAGGCTGCTGATGCTCCCTCAGTACTCACACACAATTGCCCATTCTCCGCAGCTGATTGCAGCAGATGTTAACGTTACGCTCTTCCTCACATCTCTTAGCGGTTTCATAATTAAAAAAACAGCTTTCTCCCGCTGCCTTGCCATGAAACCTTTTCCCTACTTTCATCTCCCATGCGGGCCTCAAGTGTGTTGCAGCCTCACGATTAAAATGTATAAGATTTATGTTGGATAGATAAACACTAAATCTTAACTTCTTGCTGGCGTGGTCCTTCCACATTCAGATGGTTCTTTTAAGGAACGGCTGTAGCTCTTTAAAGTAGATTCGCAGAAAGCCAGTCCAGTTTGAATGTATTGTAGATTGGATAGATGTTTGGAATATATTTGCAAATTCCTGTAAGCTCTGTGCAGGGTTAGAGCATCTCTCATCCCAAGAATCCACCACAAACGGCGGTGCTGAGAATAGAAAAGCAGTTGGTCCCGAGCCTCCCTTCGTGAGTGAGCAGGAGCAAGAGTTTGCAGTTGCCTTTTCCTTAGGATGAAGATGCAGCAGCAGAAAGCAAAACTGCCTTTGGAAGAGCAAGGTCCTTACGGATGTTGGGATGCATCCGCTGGTGTCACCTTGAGTGAGTCCATCCTGTTCTGTGCAGCCAAGCATGAGGTTCCTCCTGTTTTCCTACCAGGAGCAGAAGCAGAGGTAGCTGGCACCAGAATAGGGGAAAAAGCCCTGAATATCCAGCCATTTTAAAACTAGGTTTGTTTAAATCCCTTTTATCTTTCCTTTTCCAGGTCCACTATGCACACAGCAAATCAGTGTCAGTTGGTGGGAAGGCAGAGCAACACTCAGAGAGGTTTTTCAGGAGGGAAAATTGATTGTAAAAATGGTCTCTGATCATCAAGATGGTCTCTGATCGTCAAGAAGCTCCTGCTTATTTTAGGTTCCATCAGGAATTCAGCTGCTTATTTTCTTGCTGTTTCTTTTCTGCCAATACAAGCAAGCTGAAGTTGCCATCGAATGAGGCCGCTGCTGAGGTCTGGGATGGTACTTGCTATTTCCTTTACTTTTTCGGAATTGAAGGGATAATTCTGATCTACTTCAGCCTGTAAATTGTCCTCATTCGCTCGCAGCTTGCTGTGTGCATAGAATAAATGATGAGGGTTATTGTGGTGTGGAAGCTGGGAATATGCACGTTACATCAGATTTGTTTATCCCCAAGTATATTGCAGATTCATGAGATGTAAATGACCTGAAGAACTAAGATGAACTGAGTAAAGATAACAAATTGCTAGAAAGAAGCTTTTTTTTTTTTTTTTTTTTTTTCAAAATTTAGGTATTATTTTTTGCTTTCAGGTTCATTTCTGGTGGGTAGGACAGATTCTTGATCCAAGCGAGCAGAAACATGCAATTCAGCTCAATGCACGGAGCTTCGGTTGCTTTGGCACTGTTTCAGTTTAGGTCTTCAAAACTTTTTTTTTTCTCATTTTCTTTTCTTTCTTTTCTTTTTCATTTGAGCCAAACTGTCCCTTTTTTACTGCATGCAGTATTTGAATTTCTGAGCCCTTTGCAAAGACAGGGCTGCCAAAAAAAAAAAAACTTTGGTATTTTATTCACAACTAGACCCAAAAGAAATGATGAGATGTTGCGCTGCGATAATGCAAATAAAAAAAATAAGCAAAGAACAGCCCTTTCCTGCAAATAGCAGCCTTCCTTGTGCCATTTGGGGTGTATGTGTGAAGAAAGGCAAGGAGCATCTGCAGTGCAATAACAAATTATTAAGCAGATAATATCTAGATTGCGCTCTTTCGAGTCTCGCTATCGTGTAGTTCTGACTTAGCTAATTATAGCAGCAATTTGGATGCGTTGAACTGTTTTGCCGAGGGTAGGAATTTTTTCTTGTCGCCATCCTTTCCCTAAAGACCATTTTTTATAGTGTCTTTTGTGGCTCCATCCCATTCCCACCTGCAAACACCGTTGGTTCTGCAGCGGGAATGGGATATATATCCTGCAGGAAGCCCAAATCCCGTCTTTTGTTAGGAGGAGACTTCCTTAGAGCTGTGGCTTGCCATAACTTGAAAGTGATTTTATTTTATAATTTTAAAAATATTTTTATAATTTATTTTATTTATAACTTGGCGTGATTTTATGCTCATTTTGCCCCTTTTCTCCCGCTCCAGCAGCTAAAAGGCAGTTTTGTTAGGGTTTTTCTTGCTATTTTCTCTGCTTTAACACCCGATTTCCTCCCCGCCTGGGCTTGAACGACCCCTTTTCCAGGGATCCTCTCCCCCTGCGCCTTGCCGAGGTTCCTGGAAGCAAAAGCAGAAGCGATTGCAGCTTCATCCATCCCTGGCCCTCGCTTCCAAGAAGGAAGCCCGGAATAAATAAGCGCCGCTGCATTTTTGAAGCAAAGCCTGGCATATTTGCAGTGCCTGCAAAGAGGGGTTTCTAAAAGTTTGCAGCAGCTGTTGGGTTCTATTTCGGCGCCGGATTCCAGCGAAAATAGTGGGAACGGCGAGAACTGGGTGAATAAATGACCCCGCACCGAGCCTTAAAATATCCCCCGTCTGCTGGGGGGAGTCTGCGTTTGACTGCGGTTCTCCCCACGGGTAATTAAGTGCTTTATACCCGAGGCGTGTGCCCCTGAGTTTAGAGGCTAAAGAGTTTAATTTGTACACAGCAAAGACATTAATGATGGATTAGCTGCACAAATTCTTTTAGCTCCGCTAATCTAGCTTTTGTTAGCTTTTTTTTTTTTTTTTTTTTTCCTCCTTTTTCCTTAATCTTATTTCCCCCTGCTTGGAAATATCCGTACAGCGGAGCTGAGGTTTGGCACTGCCTAATGTGGCACCATCTGTTCCCGTCGCGCTGAGCGATGTAAATAAAAGTAAATAAAAGTAAAGTAAAACAAAGTAAAATAAAATAAAATAAAATAAAATAAAATAAAATAAAATAAAATAAAATAAAATAAAATAAGGATTGAATACATTTTAAAATAGAGTAATTGTTAAAATAGAATTAATTAAAATAGAATTAATTTTAAAATAGACTAGAAAATGAAATGAAATGAAATGAAATGAAATGAAATGAAATGAAATGAAATGAAATGAAATAGCAGAGAAATTAGCTCGCCTTCATATTGGTACTTATGTAAATGGGGACTAGGAAGCAGTCCAAGCGTTTGAGAACTTGTAGCCCTCTTTTGCCTGGAGAATCCGGATCGGTGCTGTTCGTGAGTGTTGTGCGCGGCCGTCTTGTCTCGGAGCCGGGCTGGAATGGGACCAAACGGAAGCTTTTCCTTGGACTTGCTCTTAGGGCTGGGAACTGCATCCGTTGGAGCGTCTCTGACATCCAGGGAGCTGCTTTCCTGAAGGACATCCCAGGCTGCAGTATAAATGGTCCGGAGCGACATAAAATAGGCAAATATGAGAAAAACATTTTCTTCTGTGGATTCTTTTTCTTCCAGACAAGTTAAAAGCTTGTGTCCCGCAGGCAAAGCAAAAAGATTCCCCATTAGGAACGTTTTTTTCCTTCTTTTGATATTTAAATGATCTGGCCTTGTCAGATGGGCTCTCCAAGACATATAAGGCGCTTAGGGATGGTGTGGAAATGCAAATTGTTTCCCTTTTAAATTTCCTGGAATAGAGAGAAATGGGAGTTGTGAGAGGAGCGCTGCCCTCGCCGGCCCGGGGTACGTGTCCCTGCACCTGGAAAAACGAAGCAGGAGGAGCAAGGGAAGAGCTGTCCTTGCAGGACGCAGCCCAGGGCCGTCTGGCCGGTCATTATTCTGTGCTGAAGTCTGTGCGAGTTTAATTCCCACCCATCCCAAATAGCTCTCAGAGCTCGGTCTTATCCTTAGCCTAAGTCTGGCTGGTCTCATCCTTAGCCAGAATTCCTAATACAACCAGCCACGACCCCCCAGTTAATGTTGAAGTCGCTCTTGCAGCACCCTCGGGTTTGGGTTGGTTCCTTCATCTGGCTACTGGGCGCATTTTCAGGAGCTTCTCATCAAAAAATCGTGGAGCATTTGAAGGAATCACATTGGCGGGGCTGCAGAAAAGCCTCCCCTGTCTCCCCTCGCCACCCTGCTCCCCAAGACGCTCCGCGGGGCCCAAAAGCCCCATCGCAGACACCACCAGGGCTGGCTCTGTGCAGGCACCCGTGCCATCATCTCGTGCCCGCGCTGGATTCCTTGGTGATCCGGAGGCATCTGCATCATCCTGGGGCTTTGCCGCGGTGGAAGTGTCCTCGCTGAGGTGGGACAGAGGGGACCAGAGGCAATGGTGAGGAATGGGGTGCATCAGAAGGTGCCACAGGGCATAGCCTGCTGTGTGTCACGTGGAGGTGCTCTCCTCACTTGCATCTCTTTGGGCTTTGCTGGTACATATATATACATATCTATTGATTTTACCATCCATTTCTCCAACATTGTGATATTCTTGAGTGTATTTTAGGGCCAGCTTTCATCTACTGATGCCCGTGATTACCTGGGTGGCATCAGGGAACTTTGCCACCTTGTTCTTGTAACTCATTGCTCTTCTAACCATTGTCACAGGGAGCATTCCCATCCTTTTTGTCCCCAATCCATCAAGCCCTCATCCCAGTGCGTGGATTTTGAAGTGTCCCCCTTCAAAGAGACCGGACAGGCTGCCCTTGCAGGCACAGGTGTTTAAGCCCCAGATGTGACATAAGTCTAACAAAGTACAAAGTGGGGCTAGATGCAACCCAACGGTCCAAAAACTGGTGCCATTTACACGTCGTAGGTGTCATTTAAGCCTCTCAGGAGATGTTCCACACAAAGAGCACTTGTGGATGTGACAGAGAGATGTGTCTGGTGCAGTTCATTGGAAAACAGTATTTGTAGGCTGCATTCTTGACAAGGAGAAGAGGCTTTTGGGTAAAACCAATGTTTTGGAAAGAGAAATAAAGATATTTGAAGGTGCTGGTGTTGGCATTTTACCACGTGGTATTTTGCCCCTTTGCAGTTCTTGTTGAGTAATGACATAATTAATTCACCTAAGGAAAGTGAGCTAGGAATATATAAACCCACAGGAAGAACCGGTCATTGCACATTAGAGATTAGTGGCCACGTGAGAGAACAACCAAAGTGGCAGCTCCCAAGGAAAGTGGGCTGGGAAAGCAGCTTGTGGTGCCCTGGAGCCCAGCAAGCGCCTGGCGAGGAGCTCGGAAAGGACTTCCCGACTCCGCGGGACTCCTGTGGGTTGACGAAAAGTGCGGAGTTTTGTCATTCCTTGGGGAGAGGAGTTGGGCTTCGCTGCTGGCCCGGCAGCACATCTGCCTCTTCCAGGAGTTTTGTGGGAAGCGAACCGGAGCTGTTGGGTTTGGGTGCTGGCCGCGGTGGCGGCGGGAGCTGTGACAGCCCTTCCCTCCCTCTCGAACGCAGTACGCGACCGACAGCTCCTCCAACTCCTCCCAGAAGAGGGACCAGCCCGTGCGCGCGCTGGCGTCTCCGGCGTCCTGCGAGCACCGAAGGATCTGCACCCGGAGCCACCTGCACGACCATTACAGCTCTGACCACTACCACCTCGAGCAGGTAAGGGGCTCTGGGCCTGCACGGAGAGGACTGTGCTCATGGCTCAGGGTACAGAAATCCTGTGTCCCCAGCCTCCTTCAGAGGATACCCTGCCCTCCTCCCCTGCCCCTTCTCAACCAGCTTTAAAAGGCTTTTTTGATATTTGTAGATGGTTGGTTGGTTGGTTGGTTGGTTGGTTGGTTGGATGGATGGATGGATGGATGGATGGTTGGTTGGTTGGTTGGTTGGTTAGATAGATAGATAGATAGATAGATAGATAGATAGATAGATAGATAGATAGATAGATAGATAGATAGATATAGATGGATGGATGGATGGATGGATGGATGGGTGGGTGGGTGGATGGATGGATGGATGGATGGATGGATGGATGGATGGGTGGGTGGGTGGGTGGGTGGATGGATGGATGGATGGATGGATGGATGGATGGATGGATTCATTTGGTGTTGCCTGGTACTTTGTGCAGTTGACTGTGGCAGCTCTGTGGTGGTTGCATGGATAGAAACACGTGGTGATGGTCCAGCTGCACCCGGGAACTGGTGACTCCCTGGTACCCGGGTTGTGGTTATTGCTTTGTCCCCGGGTTGTGGCTGTTGCCCTGGGCCTGTTTTCTCTCAGAAAGCTGGAACGTGGGCAGAAGCAGAGCTTGCACCCTGCTCCTGCAGCGGGTGCCATTGCACCGATTCCCTAGTTCTCCCAGTCTCAGCAAAATGAAGCCCGCATGGCCACAAAGTACCGGCTTTTTCGTTAAGCCCACGAGCAGAAGGTGATGCCGAGATGAATCCCGGGTGCAGTACCTGATTTTCGGTGTGTTTTCTGCCTTTTGCCCGCGTCCGCAGTCAGTACCGCGGTCCTACCGGCACGTCAACTTCCCGGATGACGACGAGGAGATCGTGCGCATCAACCCCCGGGAGAAGATCTGGATGACGGGCTACGAGGACTATCGCCATGCCCCGGCGCGAGGCAAGAGCTTCGACCCCGACGACGTGGACTCCTACGTGCGCTTCGCCAAAAGCGAGGCCTCCAAGCACGAGTACACCTACCCGTACGTAGACAACTCGGACTTTGACCTGGGCGAAGACATCAAGGGTGCTGTGATAAAGACTCAACCTGTCAAGTTCAAGCCCAGGCGGAAGGAAGACGGCGAGCGATCGCGCTGCGTCTACTGCAGGGACATGTTCAACCACGAGGAGAACCGCCGGGGCCAGTGCCAGGATGCTCCGGACCGCGTCAAGACTTGCATCCATCGGGTGAGCTGTATGTGGTGCGCGGACACGATGCTCTATCACTGTATGTCCGACCCAGAAGGAGACTACACGGATCCTTGCTCGTGCGACACCAGTGATGAAATGTTTTGCCTCCGGTGGATGGCCCTTATCGCCTTGTCCTTCATCGCTCCCTGTATGTGCTGTTACTTGCCGCTCCGGGCTTGTTACCACTGTGGGGTTATGTGCAGGTGCTGCGGCGGGAAGCACAAAGCTGCTGGATGACTCCGGAGGAGCTGCAGGCGCCACGTTTCGTCCTGGAGCCCGAGGAGCGCGTTGCTTTGGGAGCATCGAGGTGACACGCGTGGACGCAGCCGCACCGCGGAGCCCGCCGCCTCCGCGCCGCGTCCCTTTGCTCATCGAGCGTGCTAACCAACCCATCTACAGCGTAGACTTTTGTACTATTAACCTGTAATCAAGCAGACTGTCTTGTACATGTTTCTACTATGATTTTTCTTTTCCAGTTGAAGGGAGTTGGAGGGAAGACCTGCTCGCAGTGGCGGCGGCTCGCAGCCCGGCTCCCGGCTGCGTCCGTCTCGGCGGCGCCGCGAGCCCCGCGCGCTCCGAAGATGCTCTAACTTGCAGTCAGGTTGTTGTGTGTCTGCAGGGTGGACTGGTAACAAACTTGTACCACAACACAGTATTTCTGTCACTGGTTTTCTTTCCTTTTTTTTTTTTTTTTCCCACTTTTTGTCCTGTTTTCAAGCCGAAATAGCCACCTAAGCTGCAGTTTCTCCTTTAGAGTCCATCGTCATTTCCTTCAGCAAACGTTTTAAGTTATTTCTTTGTTCTTAAGCAGAAAGCAAGGCTCAGCTACCGTAGTCACGTAACCTTGAGAATCTGGGAGTTCTCCTTACCTGTAATCATTTCAGACCGCCGCTTGAAAGGGAAACTTAAATTTTAGGGTGCTTTTCCCTAAATAGCATTGGGGAAAAAAAAAAAAAAAAAAAAGAGAAAAAAAAAGATGTGTTTGCGGAGTTCTGCCCAAAAGAGGGGAACTTCTTCGTTAGCCAGCGTAGTGATTTGAGAGTAAAACACTAAGATTGTGGAGAGCGACGTGAGGCACCCTCAGCCTGAAGCCGGGCCAGCTCTGCGGAAACGCCGCATGCGGAGGTGGGAAGGAAAAGCCCTGTTCATTTATTGGCTCCAAAACCACCTTTTTGCGTGTCCGGGGGAGGGTATGAAGCGCAAAGCCGGGCTTTAGCCGCCGCCTCCCCGCAGTCGCGGTCCTGCCGCGCGCGTCCCCGTCGCTCACGCGTGTCCCTGCCGCCTCCGTGCTCATGCACGCGGGGTGACGGGGCTGAGCCTTGCGGGAGCAGAGCCCGGTTTAACCCCCTGCTCCCCACTCCGCCATCCCTGCCAAGCGGACGCCCGCGGCGCGGCCAGCAGGATGAAAACACTTTAATCTGTCCTTTCGTTTTCTTTAGGTGTCATATCGTCTTGTGTACAAGGCTTGTAATTAGCTGGAAAAAGAGTATTTTTCTAATATATTACAAGGAATAGCCAAATAATTTTTATTAAAAAGAGAAGCGATTTAGCGCAGTTGAGCTCTGACTAGCATAGTACAATCCGAATCCTTTGAGGCAGCTAGGGATTGGCCTGGCCACGCTGGCACTGCTGTTCCTGCCATAATTTCTTTCTGCAGTAAATTGCCAGTGGGCGCGTGTCCTTTCCCTCCCTCTATTGCACATCGACATCAGTCTTAAAAGAGAGGATTTTTTTCGTTGTTTTGGGGGTTTTTTTATGTTTTTTTTTTTTTTTGCCAAATGTAAGGAACGCTTGCCATTCCCTCGGGGGGTTCCTCTGAGAGTTAATCTCAGCTTATTATTAAGCCCTGACTTCAGTGTGCAAGGTGCTTTGCAGCACGGGGGTCGACAGGCTTCGCTCGTAGCAGTTGCTGGGGTTTGGTTTTTTCCGGTTGGGGGAAAAAAAAGAAGAGGAAAAGGAAGGATAATGGAAAAGGGAGGGAGCGTTTCGCTCGTGGTGATGTGCCTGGGTTTGCGCAAGGAAATACAAATATTTTGTGCCTAATAGCAGTTGACAAATCTCTCCTCAGTGGTGTCTAGCAGCCAGCGAGCCAGCCTCAGAAGCATCCAACGGAACAACCTTTTCGTTTTATTCCTGCTCTCCGAGCTGTTTCCTGGAAACAAACACCTGTAAGATCTGCTCTCTCGAAAGCACAACACTACAAAAGGATCTTACAGCTTTTTGTCCGCTCTTGAAGTGCCCCTATTTATTTAAGTCAAGGAGACATACTCCAAGCCTTCCTGTATGTCTGAAAACAAGCGTTTTTTTGGCTTTTTTTTCCTTAAAAGCCCTCTTTTTCCCCCCTGCTCCTTCCTCCCGCTCCTCCTCCTCCCGGGTCTTTGTAACTCGTGCAGGTTGTGCTGCGTGTTGCGTGGTTTGTGAAGGCAGCGGTGTACGGGCACAGCGAGCGCGGTGGGGCTTTTCTGTAAATATTCCTCCTCCATTTCCACACTGCTGCTGAACAGTGTGTAGCGTCCTCCCGGTCAGCTTCGCAATACTGACATCAATCATTTGAGAGAAATTATTCAGATTTTATTTTTGTATCTGTGGTAACAAAACATTAACCAAATTTTTTGTTGTTGTTTCTGTTGTGGATTTTTTTTTTCCAAGCTATTGCTCACATTAACGAATTAAAGTGCCTGAAGCCTCATCATTATTGTATCTATATACTAAAAGTTAAAACCCTGTTGTATTGATTTTTATAAGCCTTTTTACCTCCGTGTAAAAAAAAAATATATATACAAGTGTATGATGTACATTTTAGTTCTTAACTTCTTTTTTTATTGTTTCTAATATGTATGATCAGTGTAGCTATTGCTTTACAAATGTACCGTGTAAATAGAAATACACCATATGGAAGCGGTGCCGCTCCCGTTATTTGCCGGCGCGGGAAGCGGAGCAGAAGGGAGAGCCGCAGGGTGAATCCCGGGATGCGGCGAAGGCGGAGGAGGGATTTTGAGGAGCGTCGGCCTCGGGGGCCGCTCGGGAACGGGTCTGGTCCCCTTTTCCCATGGGAATGCCGGGCTGTGCTTGGGAAAAGCCCTTTTATTGCCTTATTTTTTTGATTATCAATAAGGGACAAGCTCCTGCCTTGGGAGCCTGCAGCGGAGCCAGGAGCCAGCGCTTCCCTCCTGGTCCTGCGTGAGGGCTCGCTTCAGAAAACGCATCCCAGGACTTCCCGTTTCAGCAGGTTTCGGCAGCCCCCATGGAGAGCCGGGTGGAAGGGATGCGCTCCTGCCCGACCAGGGCTAAGAAACGCATCGAATCCCGCCTGGGTTTTATTTTCTGCCATCCATGGAGCTGCCCAGGAGCCGTCTCTGCAGCCCGGGACTGGTCTGGGCGTTCCCGAGTTCCGCTGTCCCCGTCACCGTCTCATCACCAGGAGCATCGTCCCAGCTGTGAAATCAAACCACAGCAATTCCAAGAGATTTCCTTCGGCTTTTCCTCGCATGACGAGAAGGATTCCCAGGCTCCGAAAAGGCTCTTGCTGATAACAACAGCCCGAGGGGACCAGCCCTGCTGCCTGGCTTCATCAATTAGCACGTCGGGATAACGACGCAGCGGCTTCCGGAGCCTCCTCAACGCAGCCGCCGGCACAGCGGGTCCCCCTGGCTTTGGATTCACACGTGCAATGCACAGAATCCGTGCGGGATTGCTCCAAACCCAAACCGAGGTGGAAAGCCACGTGCACCTTCTCATGCCTGGCCCTGGATGGAAGCAGCAGGTTGCAGCCGTGGCCGCGTCCTTCAAGTCGTCCCAGTTGCCAGCCGCGAGCCTGGGATTTTCCAAAGCTGCTTTTGCACATAAAGACCATTAAAAATCCATCAGGACGGGGAAAGAAGAGGGAAAAGCCCTGCAATAGTGCTGCGGGCTCGGAGGGCTGATGCCGGTGGGGCCGAGCTGGAGCAACCGCGTCAACCCCCGGCGTAAATCCGCCTGGGAGCCGGCCGGGCTCCGCGGGCAGCCACTTCGGGAGCAGATCCGTGGCAAACTCCCCCTTAGCCCCGGGGGACGTGGGTGTCGGGGCTGCCCCGACTCCCCAGCACAGCCCTCGAAGGAAAAGCCCGGTTTATCCCTGAAGTGACTGATGCCTCGCCTTGCAGGAGCCCCAAATTCCCAGCAGTGTGACCCTGCCCGGTGCCTCGGCGCTGCTTTCGGGCAGAGCTTTCTCCTAAGGGTTTTTTTTTTGGCTAATATTAACCGGGACACAAATAGATCCGTCACCATTTCCTGCTATATTTTGCTTTTTTTTTTTTTTTTTTAGTATTTTTTCCACCAAGTCTTGCCCATCCTGCCCGCTTCCCCGAGGCTTTTTTTTTGTTTATCCGCCCCCATTTCCTTCCTTCCTTCCTCTTTGCTTCCCCGGAGCCTCCCGGCTCCACACGGCGCATGGAGCCTTCCCGGCAGGACGGAGCCTGCAACAACCCGGCTGTTCATTGTCCGGGATCCGGGAGAGAGCCTGGGATTCGGCCTGTGGATTCACTGCTCGAGTCCCCCGCGGCTGCTGCCGTCTGCCCGGCTCCGACCTGCTCCTTCCGTACCATCCGCTCCCCCGGATATACGGATCTGCCATCAGTTTGTGTCCGCCGGGAGCGCATGCACAGAAACGTTTTCTTTTGCACTTTGTTTAAAAAACGGGCACAACCCAAACCCTGACCAATTCCTGAGAACGGATTGGAGACGTTTGCCATTGCTCAGATGGAGCAAAGATGTTGGAGCGCCACGGAGCAGCCTCCGTGGAAGTGGAAGTGGAAGGAGCGGCGGTTCCGCCTGGGATGCACTGGCATGCACGTGGCTCCCCACCGGGATGCCGGCCCGCAGCCGGAGCACCAGCACCGATCCCGACATGCCGCCACTTTATCCCAGGGCGAGCACCATCCCAAAACTGCCTGCCCGGAACAGAGAAGCGGCTCCCGAGAGCAAATCCTGCAGTACGATCCCGAGGAGCCGCCGCCTTCATCCCGGGGAGATGCCGGCAACGGGATGGCTTTAGCCAGCCAAGGGGCGGGCGGCGAGGAGCTTCCCAGCTTCCAGTAAGGAACAATCCTTGTTCCCACCCGTGGTCATGGAGGGGTCCAGCTCCAGCCCCTGCCTGCTCAGCCCGGCTTCCCGGGAGCGAGAAAGGAGGCTTGGGGACACCAAGGAGGGCCTGGAAAAGGGGATCCAAGCGGAGGTTTTTCCATCCCTTCTCCAGCGGGAATCACTTGGGCACTGTGGATGCAAAGCAGGACAAGTGCGAGCGTTAAATCCACAAGCTCCAGGCGGAATTCCCTCTAAAATACCAGCAAGCTCTTGAACGTAGCGTGTGTTTATCAGTACGCCGGAGGGGCCAGCCGCAGCGCCTGGAATTAGAGGATGCTCCTTGGTTCCCGGTTGCCTCTTTGGCACAAGGGACATCCAGGTTTACGCGCCCGCGTGCAGAGTCTGCTCCCATAAAAGCGCATTCCCGGGCTCAGGAGCATCCCACCGGGAACAACAACATTCCCAGGGCTCCCAGCAGCCGGCACAGCTTCCTCCAGCATAGAGCCCGCTCCAAGGATGCAGCTTTGGGGTTTTCCTAAGAAACAAAGCTGGAATTTGCAGCTACCCAATGCAGCCAGGCCATTTTGGGTATTTTTCCGTATTTTTTTCATCCCAAGACAGCCATGGATGGGGAATGCTGCTGTTCCATCGTGTCAGGCAGCTCAGGGTGGCCCGGTGATGGAATTCAAGGCAGAGCACAACTGCCAGACCCGCTTTCCCAAAGGAAACAAGGCAAACGTGATCTACTTTGAAAAAATCCGATTTTATTTTATACTGAAAAGACCTGTCCATTTAAATAGATGTTTATTTCCATTCACGGTCTCAACCAGAGCTGTGTGTTAACATCGTTCAGATAGGTATTAAAAAGAAAAGCCAGTTGTGGTACATGGGTTACCATCCTAGAACACGGCGCGTGGAGGAGAGGGGCGTTCGAAGCAGCTTAACATGGAAACCAGGACTTGGAAACCTCACAGCCCAGGAGGCAGCTGCGAGTCTGATCCATCGCAATCCCAACGCAAGGTATTTGGTCTTGGAAAACAAGGAAAAGGCTGAACTGGGATTAAAGTTGCAGCGAGCCCCAGGCCTCCCCTCGGTGCTCGCGGTAAGGACGGCTCTTGTGAAGCCAGAGAGCGGTTTAAGTTATTGCTAGGTGTTTTATTTGTTGCTTTAGGTCTATATATGCAAAGCCAGGGGCACTGCAGGGCTGGGGGGCATCTGCTGCTCACGGTAATGGGTGCTGTGAAGCACCCCGAGCACAAAGGAAAAGCTCCCGAAGTTGGGAGCGTTGGGATTCCTACACGAAGTTGGGATTCCTATGCGCGCCCCTTCCCGAAGCCGGGACGAGGGGACACCACCGCTGAGCGAGGAAGCGCGGGGTTCACCAGCTAGATTTGGGCAGATTGTCATTCAAAAAGTCGTCATTTTAGGTCACTCTTTGGTTTAGTTCCGTGATTCTCCACCGTGCCCGAAAGGGCCGGGGTCGGGAGAAGCGCCAGCTCCAAGGCGAGCCCAGCGCGTTCCCGGGGCTCGGGGATTAAACGTTCAGCAGACCACAGCAATTCCAAGGACCCCTTACATTCACGTGCCCAAACATCTACTAACTGTGTAAGTGCATGCGCCGGGGCATGACCGGCATGCCCGGGAATTCATATTGTTCAAGTTAAGAGCAAATATAGCTGCAAAAACCACCCCACCCTACAAGTACATGCTCATCCCTCGCGCTACGAGGGCGACGGTCCGTATTCGGCAGCCAGGGCCCCTGCCTGCGGACTCCTCCGGCCCCAAAGGAGCTACCTGCTTTGGTGACATTTCCACATTCCCGGGGCAATTTTTCCTGTCGAGCTGTGGACAAAGGGCAAGTGCACGACCCTATCCCGTGCACATGCCAAGGAGCGGAAGGCGGGAGAGGATCCTAACTTCCTTAATGTCATAGGAGGCTTGGAAGACCAGAGGGATGTCGTATTTCCATGCAAAGCAAAACTAAGTTTAACGCTTGCGTCGCAATGCAGGTTTTCTGCTGCGCTTTATGCGGGGCAGATTTTTATTGCAAAAATGAGTTATCGGGGGGGCTGCACAAAAAATAACAAATTCAGGCGACTCCGCTCGGAGAAGAAGGCTCTGAATTACCAGCGAGTGGTTTTCAGTACAACTTAGCTTTAATGTCCTTTCTGGAAACAGCATTTTCATCACTGGGTTTTACTTCCTTCCCCATTCCACGTTAAGTATCAAAAAAAAAAAAAAAAAAACCCACGAGTGGACAGAATGAACTGGATATTTACCAACCGTCATCTCGCATCCCAATGTTATTTTTAACTGCAACAAATATAGGTCATTCTGGAACCCCTCCTGCCAGGGGTTGTTTATAAATATCTGCTCGCTGTGATAAACACTGCTCGGGGAAATATTCATGTGCAGTAACTTCTTGGCACTGGGGTACGTATTTGTGAAGTTTAATAGAAGTGCTTCTGATGGGCATACAAGCACTTGAAACATCAGGCTTTTGCAACTTCAGTTTGGGGGATTTTGGTATCCGTACTTACAGTTTTCACGGGCATTTCTGGAAGCATTAAAGTCTCCTCGGAAGCCGAGAGGCTCCTGTCCCAGCACAGCCAAGTTTCTCCACCAGGTCTTTGAAGCCCAGCAGTTACGGGAGAGTTAATAAAACATCCTTGTTCCCTGTGCTGAGACCAGAGGGTACCAAATGCAGCTACAAAAACGGGGCCGTTTGTGGTCAGCCCGACCCCTAACAGTTTGTGGGCGSAAAAGCAACGCGGCACAAACCTCTCCAAGCCTTTCCTCCCCAAAGCGGACCCCGAAGGCCACAGCTTGGCACGTGCCAGAGCGTGGGACGGCTGCAGGCCGTGGCAGCCGCGTGCCCGCCCAGCTGCGGGATGCAGGATCCAATCCCGGCCCCTTGACGGATTCCGATCCAGCACCTCCGAAGCCACTTTCGGCAGCAGCGCGTAGGGAAGCCCGGCGCCCTGAAACCGCGTTGAAGCCACTCCAGCTAATTAAGCTAGTTTCTAACTCTGTTTAATCAAAATTCCTAATTGCACGGAAGAAAAAAGATCGTTAGAGAGAGGCAGAGAGATGCGGAGACAACCACCACAATGACCCAATGGCAAAAGCTGCTGTTTTAAGGTTTTCTTATGCTAAAAAAATGAGAAAAAAAAAAAAGGCACACAACCCCTGTGAGCTAGAGACAAAAGCCAGCGGTACTACAGCAATAAACCCCGAAGAGGAAGCCCACCAGAAGCGCCCAGCTGCCTACTGGGGAGGAACAATGAAGTAGACAGGCTGCTCTTGCTCCGTTTTGTTTGCCGGGAAGTGGTCAAATTTAATCGTCAAATTTCGCCACATTAAGAGACATTTAACAAAAGCCACCCCAAGAAACCAGCCCAAAYGCTGCCCTTTGGGCCAAAGGCCACGGGCAGGCCTTTCCTTAGCGTGTAGCCGAGTGAGTTCAGAGATTGGCAATGAAAGGGAGAAGCAGCCCGAGCCGTGTGATGGGAAGGAGCGTGGGGTCTATCGAACAGTCACGCCGAGCTTCTCCAGCACACGCACGCCCTTCTCCTGGTACTCTTGTCGGGTCATCCAGAAGTTGTCCTTGTCTTTCATGATGTCCGCCAGGACCGCGCCGCCCAGGAACACCATGTGCTTCCGACGAGGGGGGTCTTCGATGCGGATCTTAAATTTCTAGGAAAGGAGAAGACAACCCATTGCAAGGATCCGTGGAATAGAGCCACTTGAAACAGGGATTGTGCTTGCTTTCTAGCGGAGCAATGAAATGGGAATTGCTGAGCGAGAAGAATGCAGCTGCAGAAGGGAAACGCTCGCACAGGGCCCTCCGCATGGCCCGCCGGCTCGCGCAGCCCAAGTCAAATAGCTGCTTGGGGCTGGAAATCGGAGCCAGCTATTCACACTTTCCCCAAAATTGTATCTTCAGTGTATCCACACAGGAAGGAGRAGGAGGAAAAAAGCAGGAGTCAGAACAGTAAATTAGAGATTGCATTTTTGTATCTCGTGAACTGAGCAGAGAAACAGTTACTAAGGTTTCACGGCTGAATCGGTTGCAAGTCACCAGATCACCACATCACAAAGTATTTTAGGATTATACCAAGGTTCAGAAAGGCAGAGAGAACAGATTCCAAATCTATACAACTGAGATCAGCTTAACTGATTAAATATTCCCTTAACCTCTTTGATGCTCACACCCCACTTTCAATAGCAGAAATGAATACAGTCAAATCCACGTGTAAACTATTAGTGCTCTAGACAAATATCCTATATAGTTACCACCAAGTCATTCCAAATAGCTGCAGAAGATCTTTAGGTAATACTTTAAGAACTACCCAAGTTCAGTTCAACATTAGAAACTGCAGAAATGTTTTTCTCTGCATCTGCTCCTTGAACAGCAATTGCCTCTGTGCTGGGCGTTTGGCTGCTGCCTGCCTTTCCCAGGAACTAATGGAAAGGGAATATTTATTTCACCTGAACATGTGGGAGAACCCTAGCCTCTGACTTTCGAGCATCTCAACTAAAATGCATAGCATCCAAATTTAAAAAGAGTTAAATAAATGAATGCTCAGTGGGGACTTCCTAAGGCAACTAGCAACACCGAATGACACATTTTACACTAACTGACCCAAGGTTTCTGAAATGTTGCCACTAGCACAGGCCTGGATTGCAAATACCCACAAGCAAACCAGGAATATGTGGCTGTGCAGCACGGAGATGCGGCGCCCAGCAGCCCGTCATCCCTGACCTCCTGCTTCCCTCTAGTGGGGATTCAGGACAAACACAGCGAGCTCAAGCAGGGACTGGCTGCTTACCGAGAGCTTCTCCACGTCTCCTTTGAGGACCCGTTCCAGGTAGAGCTGTTTGAGTTCCCGTTCCAGTCGCGAGGGCAGCCCGGGATACATGGTGGAGCCTCCGGACAGCACAATGTGCTTATAGAATTCAGACCTGCTCGAGAAGAGAGCCTTGCAGAGGACACGCGGTGGCACCAGCGCAGGGGAGCAACGACTCACRTCAGCAAGAGGCAGTCCCTGCACAAAGCAAGCTTTGGTGCTCCCCTGGCACGCTCGCCCGTGCTTTCCCAAACATCCTTGGAAGCAGCGGCAAAAGCTCTGTGCTTCCGAGATTTCAGGCTTGCTCATTCCTTCCCAAATAGCCAGGCACCTAAGGAGCCCGTTACGCTTCAGGAGTGGCTGCAGGACAAGCCCGAGCAGAGAGGCCTCTAGCAGAGGATGCCCTTTTGTCTGACTCTCTTCCCGCATCACCCCTGCGCCCCGAGAGGGGATTCGGAAGAGTTTGGCTCCTACCTGGTATCAATGTCAGCCGCCTGGATGGTGTTGAACAGCAATTCGGCCACACCAACGCCCTCCACGTTGATTAAGTGAGGCTGGAAGAGGGCCTCTGGTGCCTCAAACCGTTCGCCACCAACTTTGATAATCCTGCCATCTGGGAGCTGGGGAGGACACAATGCCACTTAGGAGACTACTTCTAGCCACTCCAACACTCAGCCAAGAGCAACTGACCCACAGGGCTCCCTAACACTGGCAAAAACATCACGTGTTGATAATTATCACCACTGCAAAGTATTACCTAGGACTATTAAAAGGAAAATAGATTTTTTTTCAATCATTATGTAATTTATTTGCAGCGATCAGGGAGCAGATACACTAATACCTGCAGACCCAGTATATCCTTGCAGGTACAGTTCCTATTATTTGTTTAAAAGTGTATTTTAAGAGATGCAAAGTTAAACATTACCTGAATTTAGACCTCCAGACACGAAAAGCCATCCGAAACACTCACCGTGTAGGATTCCACTAGTACTGTGGTCTCTAGTGCCAGTTTCTGCTCCTGTTCGATGTTGTAGCCCACGTAGCAGAGCTTCTCCTTGATCATACGCACGGTCTCGAAGTCAGCGGAATGGTTGAAAGCGTAACCTCGCAGCAGGAGGAGCTGCAGCCAACACAGCACGTCAGCGGGGAGCAGCACGCCAGGGCTCCCACCAGCACTTTCAAGCACTTTTTTCTTTAAAAGTTTACTTCTCTTTTGTAAGAATAGACTRAGTATTAAGTCAAGTCTGTTTTTCTTCACTCCAACTTTGAGTGTAAGGGAAGATAACCAAAATAATTCTTATGTTTAAACATCAAGGCATGCCACAGTTTAACCACCTGAGTACAAGGTCTGATTAACAAGGAGGTAAGAATTACTACATCATTTCAATCCTGTAAAAAAAGTCCTTCTGAAAATAATGAGCAGATGTGATGTAACACAACATCATTTTCCATTTCATATATTGAGAAAGCTAATGATTTTTTTTCAAATTTTCCTTCCTACGGGGCTATCATAAAAACGTGAAATCTCTCAATAATATTCATCATATCGCATGTGATTTGGATGAACATAACATAAATTGAAGCAACCCAGAAAATACAGGAGCAATTAAATGCATTAATACGATAGGGAAAGGCACATGCTACTTTTGTGGTATCAAGGGAATTTAATTTGAACGAGCCCACCCTGGATATCAGCTTCAACATTAAAGATTCTCGTCAGCTTACCTTAATAAGATACCTAGTAATATCCCTCCCAGCAATGTCTAACCGTCTGGTGAGATGAGGGAGAGAAAAACCTTCATAAACTGGACAAATATGAGTTACGCCATCTCCAGAGTCCACCACAACACCAGTCAACAACCCTTAAAGAATGGGAAAATAYATATATATATATTTTTATTAGCATTTTCGTAAATGGGGCAGAAAAGCAGAGAGGCTAAAATTAAAATGAAATAGCTCTTTTCAGGCCATCTCTGTCCCTCAGTCATCACTTTGGGGAAACTGATCACAATTAAAAGTTATTTCCATTGATTTTTTTTAATATATTTATTTCAATATATACTTGATTTTAAATTTAAGATTTTCACACCAACAAAGGCCTTCTTCCACATYTTTAAATGTATGCCTTCCTACATGCTTAGAACTCTACGGTTCAGAATTTATCCAGCATTTTGACATCTTAAATTACGTTCAAATTAAAGAGAATATCATTATTCTAAGATCATYAAATGCTAGGGCATAAATTCCTCAGCAGATTCACCTGATCCTCACCTGATATTAGTTTTGGAAAAATTGAGAAACCTGGAAGTATTCATGCCACAGATTTACCTTCTTAGAATTACTGGGGCTTGTTGATAATACCAGATCATCAGATTTATTTGCGACCTGGAAAAAACTACTGAGATCTGCTCTGCTCCATGGAAGGAGCGAGCACATCAGAAGAGACCACATCTAGTTTTGAAAGACTGGCAGTTAGGAATTGCTCAAGAATTTCCTAATTTAGAATTAGGTTGTGATCTATAAACCCCTTTGCCTTAAAAAGGGGCACGCATAGGCAGAATTGCAGGAAAGCAACAGCTAGTTTGAAGAGTTTTAACAGCAGCAACATTACACACTGTAACAAAACGAGGTAAGTCTTAGAGCGCAGTTTTGCCACTATTTTAATCTTTACTGCTATTGATTTAAATGGAAAGTTTTACAGAACTCTCTTTTATTTTCAAAAGCAAGCATTCCATTTAGGTGTTGCTTGGTGGTTATATTTTAGAAGGTCTTGCACTTTCATTTAAATATAGTTTGGAAAAACACTATAGACTGCTCTAAGTTGTTTCACATCTTGCTATTTGCAAAGTAACGACCAGAGTTGAGCTTACTTAGGTTAGTATTGAAGTAAGGCCAAAATACATCAGTACTCTATTAGAACTTTGGTTTGGTARCACATTATTATAAACTAAACATTTATTTTCACCTACCTTGAGCATACAAAGTAAGAACAGCCTGAATGGCTACATATACCCCAGAAAACTGGTATGTCTCAAACATAACCTGTAAGAAAAAGGCAAAATGAATGTACAAATAAAGACGAATTCTAAAAGATATTACACAGACATTTAAAAGAAAACTCTATTTCAATAATGGTATTTTTGCTAAGCAAAAAAATAAACCCAAGCTATTACATCACACGAACCACTTGGAAACCAACTTGCTTTCAAGCAGCTAGTACATTCAGTTCTATACCTTACTTGTCCATTCACGTCAGATGAGCAATATGAAGGAGTTAAAACATTTCCCATCCTTTCAACAACCACGCTTCATGCCTTCAAGAAACCTACACACCAATTTCTGTAGCTTTATTAAGCCATTCTGCAAAGCACTTAATGAGGGGGAGGCAGCACTTGTAGACCAGCCAAGTACTTCATTACTGAAGGGTGACGAGGGAACAAGACGTTTGCTAAAGGCGTGTGCTCTGATCCTAACCAAGCTCAGCCTTTGCCTTTATCATACGGAGCTCTGCAGTCGTTAACCACCCGTGGACTATGGCAAAGAAAGCCCCAGCAGACTCCTAGGCATGCAGGTCCACGGGCTGCACCGTGGCCCCRGCTATTTGCCCTAACTGCACCTTCCTCCTTCCTTCTTTCCAGCTTCTGACAAGCTTTCTAAAATTGGTTTTTGGTCTAATGCACTGCAGTTGAAGAGAGACAGCSCGTGCCGCTCGGCTGCCGCGTGCAGTTTGCACAACAGTTCTCAGCAGGACACGAAGGGCACCGCCTGCTTTGCAGCCTGGCTTCCACTAGCCCCCCCAAACCAATTTCAGTGAGGAAAGTTTAAGGCACMCGCTGTTTACAGGCTCTTTATAAACACAAAGAAGGCCACGTAAACAAGCCACGCTGTACRGCAGTCTTCTCCTCAACATGCTTCATTGGGACAGGAAAAAATGATTAACTTTTATTATTCTAGCACAAACCACTTATGGCTTTGTTATGCCAGGGCATCTTGAGCACTTCTGCAAATCTTGGGACTATAAACCAATTAAATGCTCAGTACTCCCACTGTTCAAGAACGATAGCTAAATATTTTTAAAGAAAAAAGCTGAGGCACGACAATTTTAGTATTCAGAAGCATTTAAAGAATCTTTTTCGTTAATTAGTGGATTTTAAATGGCTGGCCACCTCAAAAACAAGATCCTCACAAAGTCAAGTTAATTATTTCATCTTTTTTTAGGTGGCAGGCATAAATAACTCAGGCAACTGTGAAGCATGCCAAACAAGTTCAATATTAAATAAGCCCTCTAAGCTGGGCTCGTTTTATTTTGGGTAATGGAACACTTTGCAGTAGAAGAAAGAGACAGAAATACTTCTGATTTGTTTGTATCTGCACTTTGTTTCTGAAGCAGAAGGAAGGGAAGAGGAAAAGAAACGTCATCCTTGCCACACACACAAACATTTTGTCTGAGACATTCAGTCCTTTCGAGGGTAATGAGCAATGTGCTGCATGGGGAACCCTGCAGGAGGGCCTTTCTTCCTTCCCCCTTTCACCAGAGCCACCCCAAAMGCTTTCAAATTTCTTCATTCTACAGCTTGGTGCCACATGCCCTTTCAGTAAGTCTGCAGAAAGGAAAACAATCCTCATGGAAGAAGCCAAGCCTAGTTTAACTCAACTGTAATGGGCAAAGAAACAAMCAACCTACCAAAAATCTGTGCCAATCACAGTCATGAGCTACYAAAGAGCATACGGAGGGTGCGCTGCAGAACACCTGGCTGTGAGAACACCGTTTTTTTGTAAAACCACACCAAAAACTGAGTAATCTGAAAGGAAATCTGGCACAAGTCAGGTGCCTGGTGGCTTCTCTCATGGCCACCATTTAGCACTGAGGCAGTACTCGCAGAAACAAAAAGCATGAAGTGTCTGCAGAGGAGGAACAGCTGGAAGGGCAGCACTCGAAAACACTGCCAATTTCAACGGGCATCATCTAAACCCAGCACTAATCCAGTGACAGAGAGGAGTGAATCTCACAGGCAACCTGAGTGCTCCCTAAAGGAAAGAAAGACCTGGATTTGTATCTTTTTACAGCAAAGGGAACATACAAACGGCATTAAGTGCTGCCTTCACACATTAAGCCATACTCGAGAAGTCACTGCAAAACCCTTTTAACACCTCCATGCAAGGCTTCGAGGTTTTCTTTCTTTCAAGAGGCCCAAATCTGTTCTATCTGGCATGGAAAAAATGCCTTAACGCAGGACATACACACTAGCAAGTCTAAGATGCAAATACTGAGCAGAATATTCTCCTAAAGGGAGTAGCATTGCTCTAGATGAGTCTAGCAAGGAAGAGCTAGCGCTCGGAGAATAAAAGATAAGGAATCCTAGATTAGGATAAGGAGAAGTGACTTTACGAAGGTATCTCTATGGCTACATAATATGCCATAAAAGCCTGGCAGCTCCTGAGTGTATTGCACAAGGAGAACGGACCATAAAGCTAGACTAAGGTATTGCAGCACAAAGCAAAAGTGAAGAACAGTCAGTGTCTTCTAAGTGCTACGAACAAAAGTATTTTTAAAATATGTATTTTACTCYATACATATGGCAGGTGGATACTTATTGCTACTACAATTAGATGGGCTTGGATGGAAGACTGAGATAGGGAAAAGGATTCACTGGAAGTCAGAATGAAATATAGCACATATGAATGTATATATAATGTAGTGAGGGCATACCCGTGTGTGGATGTATATTTATGTATATATATAAAAATTACACACACRTATATCAATCTCTCTGAAATGGACTCAATGACTAAGCTTTTTTTTTTTTTTTTTAAATATATCACTATATCACAGAATGCAGAAATATCAGTATTACAGGCTTTAAGGAAATCTTAACACATTCTTTTACTTCATACTGGGGTAGCTTTCCTTTTCATTATCAAAGCCAGGAAAATATAGAACCTTAACATCATATAGTTGAAATTAAGTACTCATAATTCTCACAACACTGTGATCCATTAAAAATGTTAATGGAAACATTTTCTCTAACTCAAATATACATCTACAAAAATGAATTCTCATTCTCCCTAACCCTGTAGATCACAGTTAAGCATCCAGGGTCTCTAAATTGGCTTTAAAAAAAAAAAGACAAAGCAGAACAAAAATATTTTACAGAACTTTAGGAGACATACCATAAATTGAAATGGTTTGTATAAAATTACTCAGAAAAACTAAAAGCAGCCCGTTGTGTTATGGGGGAAAACAGAAACAAGAACACTATTGTAAACAGCTGAAAAGCAGAGAAGCCTCAACAGGAAATTCAACCATTCCTGCTCCATGGAGGCAGCTCTGCCTGACACACCACAAGTTCCTGACATATAAGAGATGTTGTTGTTAACGTAGCACCACGTGACGCTAAAGCGACAGGTCCCTCGTGCCCACAATCACTAAGAAGTCCTGAAGTTCAAAACAAACTCAAATTGCACAGCTTGATTTTTTCCACTGAAGTTTTCCCACCTTTGCTTTACTCATTTTTCTCCCAAGCCATGGAAACGTTAGTGCAAAAAGCATTCACTGCCCCTTTGCAGACTGTGTTACCACAGCTGTGACAACAAAAAAATTTTAGAGGCAAGGTTTGCAGGAAATGATAAAAGTCTCATTAGACTAATCAACTGAGTTGGGGTGGGGAGGATTATACACTTTGGCACTCTAAGCCCTGGTAAGTGGATGAGCTTTTTAGAATCTGTAACATTTTTGTTATGTTGAAAACTTAAAAGAACTGGAAATATCTATGACAATTGAGAAAAGGAAACCCGAACTTTTASCTCTCCTCACATATTACTGCTCTTCAGAAGCTAAGTCTTTGCCMTATGTTATTAAATCTATGCATCTGACATTAAATCTGTTATTGAATCTATTAAATCTGACTAATCTAAGATTCAGAAGGAAGTTAGGTCACCGAGGATCTACATTCTTAGGTAGAAAGCTTCTTAGAAAGCTTTCATTAATGATCCTTAATATTAAGCAAAATTAGTAAACTGCTTGTCCTTTGAAGAAACTGCCATTATCCAAAAGCCAGTCTCGGTTCTTGGATCCTCGGAGATAAATATGTACTCCCAGTTCTGTGGTTTGCTTGTGATAGCTCCCCGGAGACAAGAAGCCTGCTTATAACTTTAGAATGAGACAGGCCTGTTTGTGTTTGACCACATGATGRCCATTGCTGAGGCAGTTTTGGTTAGAAAACGGGAGAATTGCTTTGCCTCAAACAGCTAAAGATACGACCTTTTAGCCATTCCTCCACACGAGTGATAACCGGTTTCCACATGCCAGACATACCTCCACAATCTTCTCTCTGTTCTTAGTTGGATTCATGGGTGGTTCTGTGAGTAATATTTTACAATTTTTTGTGTCAATATTAAGTTTTTCTGGTCCAAACGTGTAATCCCAAAGGTGCTTCATATCATCCCAGTTCCGAACTATGCCATTCTCCATTGGATAATTAACTTCCAGCATTGAGCGTAATTCACTTGCTTCATCACCAACCATGAGGTCCTGTAAAATTGTAATACAGAAACACGTCAGTGTTTTCAAAGTTAGCTTAACACCAAAATGCTCAAGAATGACAGTGAACAGCTCCAGCTTGTGTCCAACTGTGCTCTTAAACAATGCCCACATTTTAGAATGGCTTTCAAGCACTTAAGAAATAGAATATGTTTCATACAGTACAGCTGTGACCCATCCCAAACCTTTCCAAAATCAATTTGGTTAATTCCATTCTCTAATTAACCTTAAACATACCAGCAAATCCTGTTACAGCAAGACTCTACGGAGACCTTTATAAGCATAGATGTTTCTCCACTGACACCTCCAAAATGCTTTTATCAAATACTCATTTGAAAAGGCTGAGATGCAAAATAGCACATAAGGGCAGGAGGTGGGATTTGCAGAATAGTTTTCCATGCATGCTGCAAATTTCTGTGCACATTACCAAAAAAGGAATAATGAGTGGTGCATAAGCATACAGAACAGTAGCAAAAGCAAATAAGGGATTAGAAATTCCACACCAGACATTAAAAGAAACAATGGGTCACATATTAGCCTAGGCCAGGAGGGTGTGAAAAAGAGAGACATCTGAATACAAAATAACCCATCTGGTCCATGCCAAAATTCCCAAGCCAAAAGTCCCAGAAACACATTCTTACACAAATGCAACCAAGTAATGCATAGTTTGTATGTTCATCTTATGCTAATTAAGCGGTCCTTTCATCAAAGTTAGTTATGCAAAACACTGCACATTCAAATTAGTAGCACCATATCTTTTCCTTCCCCACATATTTCCCAAAGGAAGTATGCACAATAAAATGTAACCTTTGCTCCGTGTTATATCCCATGCTCTTCCAAAGAAGCCTTCGCTGACTTAATCATATTTATACTCTGAGAACACATTTCTAGGCACCAACAGTCCTGCTTCCATTCATCATTCCATTCAAAATCAAAACAAAAAGCCCACAGCTGCCTCACACAAAAATATGCCTCCAGCATCTGCAGTTACTGTGGCAAACACTTTGAAACGCGGGTTACTCAACCCACAATTCAATGCTAGGGAAAAAAGAGAAAAAGATGCACAATGAAAAAATCTAGTTTATATAACGCCTTAAAAAAAGTAGTAGCATATAGCTGTTCATAAAGTTCATTTAAATCACACAATTTGTCTTCTACCTCCTCGCCCTGACAAGGCTTTTCATTTGCTTTCCCTTGCACAGCAGGTCATCCCTTGGCCATCTCAGCTGTACCGAAGGCAGAAGCCAAGGCTGTTACATTCTAAAATCAAATGTACTTTACCAAAATACACCATTAAGAAACTGGGCAGCAAAATACACCATTAAGAGACTGGGCAGCAAAATACACCATTAAGAGACTGGACATTACCTCCGAGGATTTTAAAAGACAAAGTTCACCACTTCCAATAATGTAAAACTTGCTCTGTGCACTGTTTTTGAAGCCTTATGCTGCCGAATAGGACATAAACTAGGAAAAGCCACTGTTCTAATGCACAGCRAAAGCTGCACAAATTCTCCACGTCCTTTTAAAACCAAGCCACAGGGCAGAAGAGTTGTCCCAACAAACAGCCTGCACACTTGGGGAGGTGAAGCTGCAGAGAGGAACCAGTGACAGGTCAGTCAGTGTTTCCACCACTTTTGCACTCTGAATAATATTTGTCTAGCTGCAATCTGAAAGTTGTTTCAAGCCCTTAGTTTGTAATGGCAAATAAAGCAAGTCYTAYGGTTGAAGATACTGAGCTCACRTTGATCTAGAAKTGTTATTCTTGCATCTTGCAAAACTACAGGTTATGTAACATTTAGAAGCAATACATACAATATTCTAATGAATTAGTTGCTAGTAAACCAAAGCAATGAACATCGTCCAAAATAAGTATGTATTCAAATGTAAAATGTAGGACAAGACAAAACAATAAAAAGCATCAAAAATAACATGACAGCTACCAGGTCCCATCAAGCAAAAATGGTGAACAAACAGCACAGGGGGCACCTCACTTACCATCTTTTTGTTATTCTACTTCAACAGGTCAAGAAAGGTGAAGAAAGAAGGTAGAAGCAAGAAAGTCAGAAAAGGCCTAAATGAAATTCTCAAATTATTTTAAGTACACAGTAGAAATAAGCTGAGAAGAGAGGCATGTACAGCTGGCAATGATCTGAGTTAGTGTAGTTAAGGCCGAGCTATTCTCAGGATCTAAGATTAAAATCTCTCATTAAAGGAAGTTATTGCTMCAAGTCACCAGCATCTCATTTCTATGCATCGTATGCTACACACAAGATCAGTATATCTGCATCCTTCTAGTAAACAAGATTAGGTCCATAAATATTTTGTAGCACTGGAATTTTACCCTGGGCATTGTATTTATCTGAAGTAGACTAGACAGCATAAGGTATTTGACCATAACTAATTCCAACAATTGSTAAATTTAAGTTTTAAATATTCACCCTTAAACACTCAAGAACTGAAAACAATAACATGAAAGCATTCGCCTGTAAACATACTAATCCACATGTCATGGAACAAATACGTGGAAAGCATCAAAAAAGAGATTTACYTCATTTATGCTATCTAATTTTAGAATGGAAATAAGTGATCATGAAGTGAAGTAGTAACAGCAGTTACTACTGAAAGTCCCTGCCTATAGCAATCTATGGAGGAAGGAAGAAAAAAGAAGGAAAGTTGGGAAGCACTAAGGGACATTGGAAGCATATGCATCCACACGCTGTTCACAGGTTTACTAAAGTCATTTTCACTATTAGTGTGGCTCAGTTAAATCTACCTTGAGTCACTTAGGCTGTTTAAAGCAATACAGCAACTATCAGTTCCATAAAGGCAAATCTACTTAATCTACAACTGGTGTCAGAGGAAAAGTGTACTAGTCTCTATAGCCTTTGCAAAACGATCCCGGTAATAACAGAATTTGTGTGTTTATGTCACATATTGACTGTGGGAAACGCTACATCCCTCATGAGGCTCATGTCTCACTGTCATTTTTCAGGCAATGGCAGAGACCTAAACAGGCCCTGGCCATGCTCACTCATGTTACCTGTTCCGTAGGTGCTTTTGTGGCTGTGTAATAAACGAAAACAAGGGAATTAAGGAACACAGGAKAAAAAAA